TTGTCTTAAAACTATGAAAAATAAATATACACTGAGTAGATATTATAGATAGCCCATGTTAACCTACCTCATCAAAATGTTTCTCTATTATGTTGATTTTTAGGCTAAACTGAACACACTAATGCTACTCAAACTCGTCAAGCAGAACGTGGCCCCTGGCACTCCAGATAGAGTGAAAACGAAATACGACACACGCTCGGCGTATCGATACGTACAAGTTCAGAAAGATATACTACAATAACATTACCAAGCAAAATAAAAGATATGGTATGTACTATTCTGTGTAACTGAGAAATCAAATGTGTCGCACCATATTTATTTTCGTATTCGATATTATTATCATTTTCATTTCCGTTTAATTTTAATTTTATCATGTTGTATATGCCATTGTTGTGCATTTTGAGATCATTAATGTTAACTGTTCTGGTAGTAGATGTTCGCACAGAAGTGAGTGAGGTTTTACGCTGTTTTTAGCAATATTCCAGCAATATCACAGAGGGGAACACCAGAAATGGGATTCACACATTGCGGACGCTTTAACCACAAGGTTATCTCTCCGGCTCCCTTTTCGCAAATTATTAATATTCTTCTGTTTACTTATTCACAGTGTAATCGCATCACATCACATCACTGATGATGATGATGATGATGATGACGACGACCACGACGATGATGACGGCGGCGACGACGATGACGACGATGACGATGATGATGACGTGTCCTATTTTCTTAGGTACTAGTAATACCTTCAGATTATGACTACACATAAGGAATAAGTTAATTCATTTTGTTAATGGTGCTATGTGAGTGGTATTAATTATACACGGTGTGTATGTTGCGATCATTTCCTTAATAATGTTTTCTTGTAGAACTTCTAAAGCACAAGATGTCACTTGTCTCCTACAGATCCCTGAGCACGTATTTCATAAAACAAACAGACAGACAAATGCCTTATTATAGTCTGCGTATATACAATACATGGAAATGTCATCAATATACACTTGTCACTCCTATGGGGTTATGAGAGACTTAAAATACATCAATAATCCTCAAAAGTATGAACACAATGATATTCATGAATGAATATGACGTTACAACACTAACTGTACAGAAGCCGTTGGCGTCGCAGTAAAATATGAAGCAGCTTTTGCCAGATTGTTTTATGATCAAAGTGTTGCTTAAAAGTAGGGATAGCTTTTCGTCATCTGCACACGATCAAAATTCTTTAATACGTCAAATCATTTCTTTAAAATGATGATATCAAACATAATCATAAATAGGACAGTCGAAAAGGCTTCCATACTTTAAATTCACATGCGACATTTGAACATTGACAGTGCGCTCAGTGTGCTTTGGACATTGGTGTTGACACATAGGATTCTGTACAAATATTCTCATTAATATGTATGTGCGTAGTTTATATTCACCGCCCCCATTCCATCCTTCATCCCATTCTCAACTCCAGCGATTTATATTCATCCCCTTTTCAACTCTAGGAATTAAGAGACTTGAAATTCTTTTAACACTCGTTGGGACCCTTGTATAAATAGTTTTGTTTAACCCTATATATAACTATTTACGGGATTGTATGTTACTTTAAATGATCGGCCAAGCTGTACTTTCTCGGAATGACCAAAACTCGATCCCTAATCGCCTGACCGATGTCTTGGCCGCATATGCTGTATCGTATAATGGTATAAGTAGACGCCATTGCAAGCTTGACAAAACTTCACTGTCATGAGACCAACAAATCGATAATGGCTTTTGGTGACGACGAAAGACAAGACAAGGTTAATCCTTGTTGAGACACATGCCAGCTGACTGTTTGTTAAAGTCGTGTACTTATTTATGAAAACTTTCAATTTCAACAACAACAACAACAACAACAAGAAGAAGATAGCCGGGGTCAAACAGTCCTATTTACAACACACAAACGTAAACACACACAACTATGACATATCAATAATTCATTTTTATGGCCAAATACATGAGATAAAGGGAGATAACTGCGTTACATCCATCCTCATTTTAACCCGTAATTAGCAATTGTCAATGTTTATTTATGCCTGTATCGTATTAATTGGTGGCTCTGATGCGCAAGCAGAATGATAAAGTGATACGGGGAGAATTTGTGAATCAGATGGGATGGACTCAGCGTACAATTATTCGTTTTATAGAATGAAAAGCTGTTGTCAGCAAACACATGGTGATCAATATCTACCTGGTCGATGTAGGTTACGATGGATATTGATTGTTACACAGATGTTAAATACAACGGATAAAACAATTGACCTATCTGTGCTTTCATTATCTGGGGCTAAGAGGATCATTATTTTTTCAATGTAACTAAACTACACTTGATAAAACTACGCTCTAACGCACGTCTGTTAATTCTTATATATTTGCAACATAATTATAAACATTTATTATCAATAGCGGAAAACTAAGTATTAGTAAACACACATAAAATAATATTTTTGACAGACTATCAAAAGATGGTTTTTTATACAGCTGAGTCATTTGGTGCAAATAAAGCTGATCTAAAAAATTCTGTTTGGCTTTCGTTCAAGCTCCTACACCTTTTATAACGCCCCTCTGACAAACTGGTCATTCAGAGCCATTACGCCTTATCCTTGCACTGTGTAAGATTGGTCAGCCGTAACATCCGGAGGTCAGTGAAGCGTCCGAACTTGTCCCCATTGAGACCCGAGTTCTCTTTCAAACGATTGTCTGTTGTGCTGGCTGCCATTTATGTTCAGTTTTCACTTTTAAGGATATAAAATGTTTCCGCGCCCTGTAGGCCAGTGTGATAGGGTCTTACACGTCGGTCGCCATGATTGAAACAGCTTTGCGAATGATTGTATTGTGAGGCACTGTTATGTTTTTATACTTTAAACAACAAACACTCGACAAACAATTTAAGAGGGCCTGTATGTTGTTTATTTCAATAATATTACCGTAGGATTAGGCTCGAATCTAAACATAATTATGTTCTAATTTTATTAAATTTAAGACTGAAACAAGTATAATTTTAATTTCATGAAACAAATTCATTTCGTTTTTTTTATGTAGTCAATAACGTGCCGATAAAAAAGTTAATATCAACTGCAGTATATTAAAGTTGTTTGTTTCTCGATCATAAAAATAAGTGTGATTAATATCAAGGCTTTGTCGATGAAGTCCTGAGTGAAATAGATGATTTTTGTTTATCGTTCCGATAACCTCAGTAAAATTATTTCAGACTGGTTGTCACGCGCGATGAAACTAGTAGAGCTAACTAGTCTTAAATATAACCTGTCTTATCGCAGACGGAAAATTATGTTGACAACGGAATTTTATACTGACTCACGGCTAGCAAATATTTATAAAGTATTATTTCATCAATATCAAGAAAACGATCGATTAAGTTATCAATCATAAAATGTACATGTGTATAACGGCACAATATATGGATATTTAATTGAAACAAACGTATTAAGTAATTTCCATACGTAATACAATTGGCTTGTCAAGTTTATTGTAATTGGCCCGTGTTTGGATTTATCGTGTAGGCATTGCGATATATAATATATCAACGACGGCAAAAATACTATGAATAAAATTGCTATTAATCTCACCGCCTCATATAAGCTTGACACGACATAATGGATGATTTAGCTACATAATAGTATAGTTCATATGTCATAGTTTAAAAAAACGGTTGATTGACATTGTTCATTTATTTTTATTTTTTTTAAATTACCATGTATTCAGTAGAGCTTGCAAGATGACGTGAAAATGCCAACTTCGGATAAAAATGTCTCAAACAATTTTTTAATCCAATTAAATTTTTGTATTCGGCATCTAAAGCCGGTAAGATGAGCCCGGATACAAATCGCATTTCAAACAAACCAGAATTCGGAAATATAATAACTTTAGGAAATTAAAGATGATAATAAGTTTCTAAAGAAAAAGGATTATTTTATAAAATCCGTTTGTTTATATTTTAAAGCGAATTTCAAATTGGAAAAATGCAGTTTTTGATACACCGTTACATTTATATATTGTTATTTTGTTTATAAAAAAATAATACACTCAGCAAACACATATATATATATATTAATAACCGCTCATTGTTACTTGTCAACGTATGATCGAAATATATACAATATTGAAGGAATGAAACAAACAAAACAGTTTTTCATTGATACAATGCATCCGCGTAAACAATAACATTATGTTCGCCCTCCGTGCGAGTGAAAGCCTGACCCACGCAGGTCAGCTGTGACTGTGTTGTTGCTTGTACGAGTCATGGTTGACTCTCACTGGCCGGGGCAAGAATTTGGGCCATGCACGATCACTCCCACAATCTCTTACTTGTGCCAGTCGTGTCTAACGCTACCCCTGAGGTCGCAACGAATTCCCACTCGCGCTATCCTCCGGTTATATTTTTAACTGTTAGCCCGTGGTATTACTCCCCCCACCTCCTACTCGCCTCGCGTGAACTCTACATGCCCTCTTGATGCTGACCAGTCCGCGATATGCAATGCTCGGTTATATGGAGAGCGTAATGTAAACATACAATGACACTGATATATAGTCATCTCATATCAAACAGTCATAAACGTGTATACAGTTATGCTGCAAGGAAACGCGAATCAACGAGTACGTCAATCGCTCGGTCAGTCACGTCCGGCCTGGCCTGGCCTGGTCAGAGCATGCGAAATCGCCACTGACCGTTGTGACAACATGAAGTAAATAACCTGGTGAAATAAACACAGCGGTCATAGCAGTCGCCTGTACTAATCACAGGACAAACTTCACACGCTCATCTTTTCTCGATAATTCATCACCACTCCCATCCTGGCTTTTAATTGCGCAATACAAATAGAAACGATAAGTGTTTTCGATCTCCGCAATGTAATAGGGTCACTTCTCTGAAGTCCAAAACGAGGCTGTCACCTTTTGGCCTGTAATGCAACCACTCTGTCCTTACGCAACCTTGAAGTGCGGGACCCGTCAGCCAATGAGCGCCCTGCCCGTGATGTCAGCGCGGTTCGGCTGGACATGCCTCGTTCCGAGGAGGCCAACCCGATTGGTTAGCTAATTTTGGATTACGTGATCTTCACTGAGGGCGATTTGCGATTTGCATACATGGTACACCCTCGCGTCATTTGGGGTCAGAGAGCCAACGATAATGGACCTGTGTTCACGTACATTACACCACATTGTATGGCTAACATTTCATGGCTGTTTGTGACGGAGCGATCCGGCGAAGAGAGGCCAGCGGCTAACAAAGGTATGATACAGTATTTGTTGTGATACAATCAGTCTGGTCTATGGGCAAGCGGCCAGCGCTGTCGACTAAAGTACACATCAAGTGACCCTCGTCCTGAGCGTTGCGCACGGTACAGTTATATAGCTTACATAGGCTCTCATCCTGGTACGTAACAACCGTTCAATATCTATGTTTTCATTGCCCTGTTTTCAGTCAGCCTTCAGCCATGTGTTAGTGTTTATCGTCTTTCCACGATGTTAATTGTGGGAAAATCCTCATATTCATTGATCGATGCTATGCGAAAACTATGGCCTACAACCGCAGAGAACAGTGACATATTCCTCATTACATAGTGTTGTATCTCGCCCACATTCCTGTTCTTAGTCCCGAATAAAGGCAGCTTTATCAGTGCGTCATGGACTGGTGAGAGAGAGAGAGAGGGGTTTGTGAATTGAAAGGTATCGCGATAGGCGAGAGTTGTGTCGTGCTTACTACGTACTGGTGTTTGAGTGTTTCACTATCTCGCTATGTTTTGGTTACAGCGTGAAGGCCACGGAGTTGTGTACATGGCTGTTTGCCAATAGGGGAGTGCAGGGGGAGATGGCGGAGTGCGGGAATGATGCTAGTACGGAGGAAACTATATCGCAAGCATCACATAGACACACCACCAACGGACACTCCCACGGAAGTAACGGTGTCACTGATAGAGGGACATTTTCGAAGGAGAGAAACATGGGAGGAGAGGACGAGAAGAAGACAGTCGTGCAGGATATTCCTTTGGATTTTTCTGTGAAAAGGAAAAGTGTTGAGTCGATCTCAGAAAGTCTGACAGACGATTCTCAAGTGTCGTCAGTGAGCCCACCAGCTAGTCATGGGTCTCAGGAATCATACCCTGAACATAAATCCAACGAAACTACCTCCAATGGTTCCAGTCGGTCCTCGGACCCAATTGGTGACCCCCGGGCATCTTTACCGCTGTCCCCCAACTCCCTACCCATGGGTCTTGTCCCGGGGATGGGATCAGGCTTCGTGCCTAATGGACACTTGCCCAATATGCCTGGCTTCATGGACCAAAGACTATTGCACGGGAATAAGAATTCTCGCCCGTTCAAAGCCTACCCCAAGGAAGCATTATCAATGCCATTGGGGTATTACGGGATGGCAGGGATGCCGCCTATGCCTCAAATTGACGGACAAGCCTTGCAGGGGCTCAATTTGAGTTCGGACGAAATTATGAACATATATCAACAACAACTTCAGGTGCTTCGTGAACGAGATAAACAACTTTTAACCATGGCAAAACAACACATGCGCGTGGAAACAACGAGCCCGACACGTACGGGCGCCAGCAGCAGCGGCAGCAGCAACAACGGAACAACGATGTCGCCGCCTTTGCCAAATTGCGTGTCCCCCCAACCCCGCCTCCCCCCTCCTTCTAGCCGCCCAAGCCCCATGGTCTCGAGTACCTCCGCCCTCACAGCGGCAGGGCGCAAGCGGCCAAGGTCCTTACCAGATGAACAAAAGGATTCTGCATATTGGGAAAGAAGAAGAAAAAACAATGATGCTGCAAAACGGTCCCGGGATGCCAGGCGTGCAAAAGAAGACGAAATTGCAATCCGTGCTGCACTCTTGGAGCAAGAAAACCTCAAACTCCGAGTGGAGGTGGCAGCACTGAAAACAGAGACGGCCCGACTTCGGTGTATGTTGTATAACAGCTAGTGGATTTCTTGACCACCGGTCAGCAGCCTATCTACCTCAGCAATGGACACAGGTTCGTCAGTCTACTACCTCAGTCCCTGTCTCGCTTTCTATCCTACATGTTGCAGGGGTTTAATGGACATGTTGTTTGCCAATTATATGCAAATGTCTTATGTGTTTAGTCATTGCTGTACGTTAAGGAAACTCCCGTCAAGAACATGCACCGTGCTTGGGATATGCTGTGGGGTCGTGTTTACAACAGCCATCTATCCATTCATACCCTGCTGTACGAGCCGCTGAGCACTACCGGTCACGTGACCTCTCAGCTGTTCATTCATGTGTGTATGCTTCAAGACTTGACATGCCCTCTCCTGAGGTAGGTTCGTCGACGGGCTGGAACACCCACTCCGATACGGGTCACGTCACTGTGCTGCCGGCCGTTTGGGCACGTTGTTGTCATTACATGTACATATAATGCATTACTATATACAATTCTCAGGGACTGCTAGGCTGCTCCGTGTTAAATACTCCAGCTGTCAAGCGCATCCTCAAAACCACACCCGTATATTATCCCCAACCTCAAGTGCAACTCGTAAGAGCTAGTACGGTTCATATAATCTTGTTTTACTTGACACGGGATTGAGTCACAATCAATACGAAATAGGGCGCAACACGCAACACAAAAACCTCAACCCATCCCTTCCTCACCCCCATTCAACCGGCAGGTTCATCCGGTTCGGAGAATTATCTTCCCCGGGTGCACCCGAGTGCATCCAGAACGCTTAAAATGTTAATAAGTTCGGCTTGATAGATCCATGATTGTTGAGGCCTGGTAATCTAATCGACAGGTGTAGCGGAAGAGATCGACTTGGACCAGCTTTTATCATTGATTTGGAATTTGATGTCTCTGCTAAAACACCGACCCATTGTTTGTTCCTATTTGTTATGCACAGAGATGTTCATTGTGAGCCATTATTTATGCCATATTACTTACTACAAGTTGTTTAATTGTGTTGTCGTGTCCCCTGTGCCCACGCGCCTATTCAAAGTTCGTCGTCTTAATGTCACAGATTAGTTCGTATTTTATACCAGATCAAGTTCTCCAAAACCTTTGAGTGTTGTGAAAATTGAATTAGTGCTCAAGATCTCGGTGTAGGTTAAGGTGAAATTGGATTCAGTCTCACCTGAAGTGCTATTTTCCCGAATCGAGAAAAGTGTTCATTGATAGGTTCCATAGTAAGTGCTAAGCTCCTCTTTTTTATGGATCCCTGTTGCTATGTGTATTGAGTGCTGTTGAATCTATTAGTGCTAATCGATTGTGTATTTTGCTGGTGTAACCAATCGCAGAAATATGTAGGACTTTCCCACACTGTCTTGTATCATAAACAGCTGATTATTGCACACGTGATTAAGTCCTACGAATTCATGTGATTTCTAATACGCCCTTATGACATGTTTAGTGCTTTGCGTAATAACCACGCCATTCTCCCAGCATTGGCCTTTCCCCGACCAGACAAATCATAGGAGTTTTTAACACGGAGTAGTTTATCAAGGTTTTGCATTACGGTGGGAATGAGTGCGAAATGTTAGTATGTTATTGCCGAATAACTATGTTGGCTGGCGACCAGAGATCCTTTTGTTCATATAGACCTTGATTATTGACGTCATGATTATTGACGATACGGGTGTATTTTATTACGATGTTCTCAGTGCTCAACTACGGAAGCAAGACGGCACCTTGCCCACTTCCAAGTTCCAATCTAATATTCATAATTGTACACAATTCACGGTCTCATGAAGGATGTGTTTTTAACTCAGGGTTCATATCCGAAATAAATGATGTTGGATGAATTCGGATAGATGGTGGTATATTTGTGTGCATACGAATAGATTGTGTTAGAAGCAGCCAATACCCTGTCTTCAGATCTGAACTGAGTGGTACTGTTAGGTCAAAGATGGTACTTGTGTTTCAAGTAACATGTAATTAATAGATTTTTTAAATATCAATTTTAATGAGTGTTCTTGACGACCAGCTACAGATGTGATAATATTTTCCAAGTCGCAAGAAAAAGCACGAATTGACTTTGTTACTCGAAACACAAGTATTTTGGGTTCTTTGATGAAAAAGATATTGCAACTTTACTTTAGATTAACAGTGTTGTATTTATCGTAGATTTTGTTGTGTAGGTCGTTGAGGTAGCTCTCTTTGTTTATGTTTGTGTTTTTATGATTGAACTGTTGCTATTTGAACGAGCGGGTGTTTTAAGTACATGCATATGTATGTATGATTGTTTTTTTCGGTGTTTCATTGTACTTTGTCATGAACTGATGACTTGTGCTTTTTTTTGTAAACCCTTCATAAACGTTGCCACACGTTTGAATTCACCAAGGGTTGTGAGGAATGGTATTACGGGTAGATGAATGCATTTTATTCAAAAAATGTCACATTAAGCCACACTCACAGAACGCGGTGAACTAGATAAAAAAACATCGTTTTGCTCCAACTCAGAAACACCCATCCTTACGTTTCACAAGGTATACCTGGTTGGTTTAAATCAGCAGCTGCGTCATCAGTTGTGAATATATGGCAAGAATTGAAAAGCATAACAATTAATGGTCTTCATACTGAAAAGGCCATGTAACACGCTATGCCTTCTGGCCATCATAAAATCGTTATTCTGAAACACAGAAGATAAACTTCGTCATTAGAGAATATGCCCCGGGGGGTCGTCGTTAGGACGATTCCCCCTCCACATCGATTGTAACAATGATAAACCTCAGGGATGATACATCGCATTTATCTCTGGATTGGATTGAAACATAATAAACAGCCTTTTTTCGGGGGCGCTGGGTACACTCAGGCGCTTTTATTCAATGTCGTACAAACGGTAAAATGCGCCATGGAAAACACCGATATCAACAGATTCGAGAGATTATTTCTTTCTATTTTTGCACAAACTATTCCTTTAGAACTCAATCTTTTGACGATGACAAATCATGTTTCCCGAACTTCGGTCTTTTACAGCAATTCACATTGTTAGCATGTGGGTACGTATTGAACAAATCCCCTTCAACTATTTTCTGAAAAGGAGATGCTATTTTGTATACAATTTGATTACTGATTTACCAGCATTCATGAGACCAATCACACCAAGGGGCCTGGGCTAGTTAGTGTGTTTGTGTAATTGTAGTACTATTTTATTGTAATAGTTATTTTATATGTGTCACTGCCAATTTGGGCATTTGCCTTTGTTAAATCAGTGTAGTAGCATTCGTCGGCTCTGCAGTTGTAATAGGTTGTCTAACAGACAGCTTCTTTCGTACACACTATCTACCTCACGACTACCCCCATGGGCAGCTGGTGTTGGGGGCTTTCAAAGTAATATTGTTAATCCACCTGCTGTCCATGGGAATGTCTCACAGTCCCAATGTCTGCTCGCTCGCTCCATTTTGTTCTCAGGGAATTACATCATATGTCATGTTGCTATGTATATTATCATCGTATGTATTCACTCGCACGAAGGGCGTGAGAATTATATACTATTGTGTTTAATATGTATGCATTGAATGTATATTGCACTGTCACTTTGAATTTTAAGGTTACTACTTGTTTTGTACATTTTCTAAAAAATATCCATGTTTCAAGTTATTGTCATTAACGTTATGGATTTATTGATGACCTGCACCATGCTGGTTTGTTTTATAAATTTCATTACATAAGAAACCATTTCCTACGTTACCCTAGAAACCAGTTCGGTTTGCACGTTGTGATGGCCTGTTTTGGTAATTTCAATGTAGGACACTTAATATCCATCACAAACGCAAAAAAAGTCCACACTTATCTGTTTGAAATGCATTTGGCTGAAAGCATTCCACGTCAAACGCAGTGGTATTAGTTGCATTTTTTAAGATCTTCACTGACCAATGAAGGGGCGTATTGTGTTTGAAGTTAATAAGGTGTCGTTTGGAAACGACTCTCGTAAACAGCTGAGAAACGAAGCTTCGGGGCATGGTGATCATACGATCGGTTACGAGAAGTAAATATTCACCACACATCTCCATCTTTTGAATAATATATGCTGGCAATGTCTTACGTCTTCATCTTTGGATGTTACAGGTGAAATCGATTTACCTATGATTTATGTGATTTGTTCAACAAGTAGCATAATTCGAATTTTAATTTGAGAATAATATGGCGTTGTATTGACTATTTTCAATCCATGTTAATGTGTGAGTTTTGAAACACTAGAGAACTGAACGCATGTGTTGAAAAAAATCAATGTTATCAGGTGTGACTACCAACATGTGTCGTATTTTGCGGTCATGGATGTTAAGTGTTGCACTATTGGCTATATATTATGTGTCAGTCAGCGGTTTATTTTTAAATAGTGAATATGAAAACCTGATTGTTTGAAACGTTGATATATAGCAGAATAGTTTAAATAGAACTTCAATCGCATTAGTGCTATATCAGTTGATATGCCAATGTCGTGCTAAAATGTTTTGTCTTATTTAATGTTCAACTATTTTGTGGACATTCAGCATGGTGTTTGTCTGTGTCAATACAGTGCTCAAAGTGTTGTATATTGCGCTAGTTTCTACTGTTTGTGTAACTATTACATCACTTTATGTCATACAAAAATGGTGCATTTCTGACCGAAAGCCGTTTCATAGAAATCCACTAGTGTATCACCATATTGTGGCCCAGTTCATTATGTGAATTAGTTGTACCCTGAAGGGTAACAGAAAGCTTCATGTCAAGTGCTATTTTTGTCTAGGAATTTTTAGTGTATATGTGGTATGAATCATTTGAGTGCTTCAAGGCCATTGGTGCATATCCTTATCCTTTGATAAATGGCTTATGAGTCTAACATACTTCATGAAACCAAACAGTTTCTGTTGACTAAGGAAGGATACATTCTTCTTCTAAAAATCCAAATGATTTAAGATTGTTCAATGTAGCATTTTCCGCTGTCATCGAAATCAACACAGTTATGTTTTTGGTATTTGAGTACTTTTATTCGATGTTTTCATTCAATTTTGAAACTAAAAGATGTTTTCGGAATTGGTAGTGAGTTGTGTTTACGCAGTAATTAGCGTAAAGGCGTAATGATAATATATTCTTTGTATTCAGTTTGAATTTGCCTGACATGTTATCATTTACTTTAGAAGCAGAAATGGTGTACGCATTGGAAAACCTTTTTAAATCATACGAACTCAAAAGAAATGTTTATGGGTTAAGATTATTTAAATAGACTTCACATTAATACTTTTTTCCGACGAAAACGGGTTTATTGTCACTGTTTACAGTAGATTAGACATTGTATATTTTCATCTCCCTGACATTGGGTTGCATGTTCATAAATCACACCAGACAGGCGATATGCCTGTGCGTTCAGCGTTCATGAGCCCAAATTATATCTGGTCCTATTTATAGTACCACGTGATGTGCACACTCTACGGAAGTGACGCAACGCTATGGGTGACATTGCAGATTTAATAACAGTTTGCGTGGCTGTCATGCATCTTTAACCATACAGTTATTGAGAAGATCTTTTGAGCGAAAATTATATTTTATTTTAGTCTATAATGTGTAATTGTAACCACTTCGTTTTACTTTAAATTGTTCTAGTTTCTTTACTGTTAGATTAATTTAGTTTCATATGCAAGCTCGCAATTGAGCGCCACAATGTGATCCTGGAGTGAAGAGATGGGGGCACTTGTTTGTGAAATGTAGTGTACATTTTATATTCCCAAAAGTATATTTTTGATGTATTGGGGAAAATGTGCACATACTTTCAATTCAATGCTATATTCCTGATATTGTTATTTTTCATACGATATTTGCGTGGATGTGTTGTATGGTGACTAAAAATAATAATATTTACCTTCTTGATAATATTATTACCAAAGTACATGTCAATTGGTCGAATAAAAACGACCATAGCTTCATTCATTGACTTTCAACAATCATCGTATCCAAAATCGTATAACCTTGATCAGGGACGACGAGTGATGTCGTTCAGCCCTTATCGAGATTAGCTTATTATTGACTCACGGTTTGTTTCTATTTACTCCGAGTAGCTGTCGAGCTGTCTCAAAGGTATTTATCACGAGAAGCCTTTTTATTTCCATCGATTATTCAAACCTGTACATTTCAGTGCTGTTCATTCATATACGGCATTTCATTACATTTCATGCTCAGGAAAGAACAATCAAAATTATAGTCACATCAACATTCGCTTTCTCAAATTTGTTGATCTTATCAGTAAGAAGGTAAACAAATTTCGTTAATCTACTTCGTTGCTCATCGACGGCAACGCCCATAACGGTTCGTCTTTCATGTCCACATTCTACTCCTGTTGATCAAAATGTGATTGTTGCGGGTGAATGGTCATATCATAATATGCATGCCTTGTCGGTCCATCTACCTCGTTAACATATCCATTCCCGTAAGTATTCGGTAATGTCCGTTACATAACGGAAACAACCGAAGTGTTCCGAATGGGAACTCGAGTGCCTGTTCTCCAAGGCACCCATCTCTTCACTTGTAATATTATATGCGAGTCTGCGGTCCCTATGTAGCATTCTGATATTGATGAGCGGGTATGTTTGTCGGGTAACCATCAGCGGGTTTTTTAACCTACCTCACTTTCTCAAAACTCTCACATATATATAGAGTATTGTTATTTATGGAGAATGTTTCGCCATGAAGCGAATTTTATTAAAATCTGTAACACGTTAATCTATGTTTGTTTTTCTTTGTCAATATCTTTGATTTATTATACATGATTTTAACAACACTGGAGTACAATTGTACACAATGGGTCGAAGCTGCCACCCAAAACACTTCCGTCTTCAAAATCTGAAATGTTTTGCCGAGGGATGGGTTTGTAAACCGCCCAAGAGTCGTGAGAGAGTAATCCTCTTAAGTGGTCCCCTCAACCATGGCGATTATTGTACATGTATATTTAAGCAGGAGAAATGAGCGAGGTATTCGGCTGATCGATAGCCAAATGGGAAAATTCGCTTTAAAGACATTTCTATCTCGTCTTGAGAAATATCTCTGTCGTTAACGCCATTGTGAATTATGGAAATGATTTGGCCACGGCTGAGGACATAGGAGTCAGAGACAGATGGTCCTTCTCCAGGAGATACAGCTTACCTCTGCACGTTCAAGGACTTTACTTTAGATTTTCCGTTTCGACCAGTTGATGCCAAGTTTTTTAAAACCCAGGCCAACATTGTGCGTACGTAGTGATCTTGTCTTATCAATGTAATGGCTTGTCCAGAAGATACTGTTCACTTCTGCACGTTCAATGACTTGACTTGAGATTTTCCGTTTCGACCAGTTGATGCTAAGTTTTTGAAAACCCATGCCAACATTGTGCGTACGTAGTGATCTTGTCTTATTTATGTAATATGTGAAAACTATAACTTGGGATGAGCTTTTCGTCGCGTTAGATCACCACAGGTTATTGCCTCTAATGAAGATTTTAGTATGTGATATAAGATAAAACTGTGATTACAATGAATACTTGTCCAATTGGAATGAAAACACTATTAAAATCAGTGCAAAATTTGTGTATTGTTTGCCAGTCCTTATGGGATATTCTTGAAGCTGTATGTAAATATTATATTGCCCTCAAAGCATGAAGCTATCAAGAGATCAGCGTGGATGATATACAGATGACCCCAAAAGATGACCCCAAGTGACCGCTGGCTTAGACGAGCGACCTGATAATACGGAGCTTGAATTACTCCATGAGTTATGTAAATCTCGCGGGAATTCGAGACGCCATTATGCAAGCTGGCCAGCAAGGCAAGTAGGCCATACACCACGTAATGGCCGGAGCGGTCACTTATCATACTATGTGTGAATCACGACCTTGGCTGACCACTGGTCTTTGGTCTCAGTCGGCTAACATAAACAATAGCTGGACAAATACGCGTCATCTTTTGTCAACTGGACCGGATGTCTGGAATATTCAGACATGTAACAAGAGTTCAGGACAAGCGTAGAGGCTCCACATGTAACAGTGGTCAGTGTGAAAGTTGTAGATAGTGCCAACAGAGTGACCAGTTATTGATCGCAGAGAGAATATCCTTCGGCCTTGAGCGGTCAGCTGGGTCGATATAACGCTCTGCGGCCGACAAGCAAACATCGCTGGACACTTCAAGCTTCTTACACAGATCATAATGGCGTCATTCCGGCGGGCGCTTGTTGAAAAGTGCCGCCATGTTGGATGCTGATGTTGGATCTCCGTGTACACGAAGGAGAGACACAGGGTTCGAATATAGGAGTAGGTTTGCAATCAGTTGATCACAAATACAGTATCGGGATTACAGTTCCGAGATTGACACCATGCCTCCACACGCTGGTCAGAGAGGCATGTTTGTTATATTCCTGGAGGTTAAATCAGGTTATTGATCACAGGCACCTGGGTCCATCTGACACATGACTGAACTGACAGTGCACTCGTGGTCAATAATCATATAATAGTTGCAATGACCTCGCTATTGAGCCACGTAACGCCCAATCGTATTTATGGCAAGTAATACCATAATGCTATATGCCGAACAACGCCTTGCTTTTAATTAGCGAGGTTTTCATCCGTGAATAGATCGAAGGACCAAAGTCGATGAGCTTGTCCGTATACCCGGTGTGTGACACTTGGACGATGGATCATTTGAGACACGTAACGCAAAAAATCTATACATGACCTTTTGAAATTGTCACGTCGCATTTAGATAATCATTCAGGGCAGGAATTGAATACCATAGCAGCTGTTTGCGACATGGTCGTGTCCGTGCAGATTGTATTATTCCACTAACAAAGACAGGTATGTTGATTACTGAATGGCGACACGATCAAAGGTAGATGTATATATCGAATCGCAATGTTATATTCCTCAGGCTATGCTTGAATACACCCAGTGATAGAACAGTCATAGCAGAATTAGTATAGGCTGACGGTGTGTTAGGTGTTTAAATGGATGTGACAATATGTCTGTTGATGGGTAGTCAGGATGCTGATGGGAAAGTGTTGTTGTATATGAAAAGTGTGGGTGTAGGTGGATGTGTGGATGTGCTAGGTGTCCGTTGATGTGAAAGAATGCACGTGTAGGTGGACATATCTGGGTGTGGATGGATGTGTGAGGTGTCCGTTGATGTGCAGGAATGCACGTGTTGGTGGATAAGTCTGGGTGTAAGTGGATGTGTGAGGTTTCCTTTAATGTGTATGAATGCACGTGTGGGTGGATAAGTCTGGGTGTAGGTTGGTGTGTGGGGCGTCAGTTGATGTGTAGGAATGCACGTGTGGGTGGATAAGTCTGGATGTGGGTGGATGTGTGAGGTGTCCTTTGATGTGTAGGAATGCACGTGTGGGTAGATAAGTCTGGGTTTAGGTGGGTGTGCTAGGTGTCCCTTGGTGTGTAGAAATGCACGTGTAGGTGGATAAGTCTGGGTGTAAGTGGATGTGTGAGGTTTCCTTTAATGTGTATGAATGCACGTGTGGGTGGATAAGTCTGGGTGTAGGTTGGTGTGTGGGGTGTCAGTTGATGTGTAGGAATGCACGTGTGGATGGATAAGTCTGGATGTGGGTGGATGTGTGAGGTGTCCTTTGATGTGTAGGAATGCACGTGTGGGTAGATAAGTCTGGGTTTAGGTGGGTGTGCTAGGTGTCCCTTGGTGTGTAGGAATGCACGTGTAGGTGGATAAGTCTGGGTGTAAGTGGATGTGTGAGGTTTCCTTTAATGTGTATGAATGCACGTGTGGGTGGATAAGTCTGGGTGTAGGTGGAAGAGAGAGAACATATACGTGAAGATACTTTACATGCCATATTTTATAAATATATATACTATGGACATTAGGTTATATTGTCAATATGACATTTCAAAATATAAAAAAAGGAAGTACTTAAGTCGCATAACTGAACATGAATTTGTGTCATTTATCCCAACAGTTACATTACTATGTTGTTATTGTTTGGAGATAACAATGGATGTGTAGATCTGATAGCACTGAATGAATACTTAACGAACATTTTGATGGACATATCCCACATATCCATATATATTATCACATCATAAAGCTTTATGTGCCTTTATCGCATAATTATATCACTTTTATTACTTCCGCTATGACGCGATTGCTTTTTGCAAGAGTCATTGTGTCTATTTTTGAAGCGGGTTTATTGCTACAGAAACAGACACAATGGCTTCTGGCTTATCTGTATAGATATATGAATTTCAGTCAAAACTCCTTTACGTCGTGCGAATTTCTATTTCACTGACTAACGATGACTGACGTTTATTCTTTCGTTATTTTTATATTACAAACATAAATACGATCTTTATGTCACGATATGATATTAAATTGTAATTTTTCAATAAGACATTTCCTAAAAATAACCTTGCATTGTGTATCACTTTGAGGACATGCGGGTATTCGGGGAAAACAGAAAACTGAACAGTGAACAGACATCATGCTTCTAGTTCACGGGGGCGGTCGGGTAGCCAAGCGGTTAAAGCGTTTGCTCGTCACGCCGAAGCCCCGGATTCGATTCCCGACATGGGTACAATGTGTGAAGCCCATTTCTGGTGTCCCCCGCCGTGATATTGCTGGAATATTGCTAAAAGCGGCTTAAAACCATACTCACTCACTCACTCTAGTTCACGATGCTCAAAAAGAAATTGTTGAGATAGTTCATCTTGATTATTTAATAGCTATAATAATTCAAATATTTTGGGCCCAAGTATCCCATTCTTGTTACAGCATTGCACATCCTTGAGCGTGGTTCGCTCACAACGAAAAACAATGGAAATAATAAAATGAAAACAGAAGAATAATATATTTGTGTCTTTAAGTCGATTTTGATAAATATACATGACTTTATTCTTTGTGTAATAAATTACATCGCATGGCCACACCGTCAGAATTTCAATCTCGCGGGGATTCCTAATTATCATCCAAAACTGGCCCCCACAGGAGATATCGCTTGGGTGAGATCAAGCGATATCTACATTGTAGATATCACTGCAAAGAAATTGCATCACAATGCTTTGCAGACCATTGTGACGTCATTGTTACCATGATGTCACAATCAAATGACATCACCAATGGCTCAGCTACTGAAGCTGTTAGCAGTACTTTTTACACTTAAGACACTGATTATTACTATCTACAAACTGAAAAAGTTGGAAGAATGATGTTGAATGATAAATATAATCTCACCCTTGTGTCTTTTGAAATCAAATAGATCAACCCTCATTGATAAAAAAAAAATTCCACTTTTATCAACTCGTGTTGATATATTTGATATCAAAAGACATACGGGTGAGATTCTCTATTTATCAGAAGAAATTCTCACACAAACACGGTATAACATTTAGGATGGGAGGTATGTGTATGTACCGACTTAAGAATGTTTGTTTGTTTGTTGTTCAACGCCACACCCAGCAATATTCCAACATTATGATGACGGTCTGTATAAAATGGAATCTGGACCAGATAATCCAGTGATATAAATTATGCCTATCATCCCAAGAAATTGGAATACGATGACATTGCAATCGACCATGTCACGAAGCCTGACCATATGATCCACTTAGTCGTCTATTAAGCCAAGCATGGGTTGCTGGAGATCTATATTCCTACTCGGAATCTCCACAAGTCCATGTACCGGCTATGTGGTAAGTGAGAATCGCAATGGTCCAGCAGTATCACGACCGGAGACATAAGAGA